TTGGTTGAAATTGAAAGTTAATGACCAATTTGTGAATTTAGCTATAGTCGAGGGACCATTTTGAGTATTTACTCTTTATAAAATTATAACTCGTGGTGTTTCATTAAACTAGGTAACATATAAATAAATATGAAATTACTCTAATCTATGTCATCTTTTAAATTAACTTGTTCAAAATTAGGCTTTATCCAACATAGTTAGTTTGATTAATTGATCAGTGATCTAATTAATCAAATTAAATCTTGATCCAATCTGGCAAATGCTCATCCAAATCATATATATGTTGCATAATATTACTACGAAAATAATATTTCTTGAAACAAAAAACAAGCACAAAGCAACGGAAAAAGGTTTTGGGTTGTTAGTACGACTGTACGAGTCGTGTGATACCCACACTATCATTAAAACCTTATTTGCTACCTTCCAAAGGTGCTAGGAGCGTTGTAGCCTAGGTTTCTCAAGATAAAAAGATAAAACGTACTACGGTTCTATGTTTGAGCACTAGAGTTTCGAGAGGAAAAAAGCTCTGTTTTCAATGTGTATAAATCGACGACCACTGAACGGTACTCCAGAGAGTGGTTTTAGAGGTACCCGGGAGGGGAGGACTCAAAGACTACCATTCGGTCAAATTCCAAATGGTATGTCCTCCAACCGAGTGGTACAAGTTCGGAGGACTCAAAGACTACCATTCGGTCAAATTCCAAATGGTATGTCCTCCAACCGAGTGGTACAAGTTCGGTACTCCAAATTCCGAATGGTATGTCCTCCAACCGAGAAAATGGTTCGAGAACTACAACCATCCGTACAACATTCGTGTCCGCATACACGAGTCAAGCCTTTTCAGACTCATTTTGAAATTTGATTTGCACCTCTCCTCTTGCGCGCGAGAGAGAGCCTCTATGCTATACAGTTCAATATGCCTTAAAAAGGCTCTTGTATATATAGTGGTGCAAACCCACTTCCTAAACCAATGCGGGACAAAGATTACTTTAAAGTCTTTCCACCTTCTTTTTCCAACTTAAATGGGTCTACCCGTTATCCGTTTGAAGCGTACAATATATTAATCTCTTCGTCTCACTACGAAAAACCCGAATCCACTCCGACCCAACTCAAATTGAAAGTGGACACCACAAATATTTATACCACAAAATAGGCACTTTCCATATCATTTTATGTTATTTTTTCAAACAATATATTTTCCTTTTAATAAAGTCACTAATTGTACATTTTTATTATCGGTAAAATAGAACTAATATTATACAATGTCGAGTGCAATTATACAAAACATATGAAGATTTGTATTTCTATGCATGAATTATAAAATATGTAGCAAATAAACTTCATTTATAATCACTATTATTATTACATACAAACTTCAGTTATCTATTTACTCATATCATCTATCCAACCACCTACCAATATACATCTACCATCACCTACATATTCTATTATCACCTATATCTACAAATTAGCATCACCACATTATTCATATGATTTACATATTCACCACTATGACTACATATAATATTTTATATTTTTACTCTACCCATGTTATTAGAAATAATAATATATAGGTAGGTACTTTTTTGTTTGGTCATTTTCAAATTTGAATCAGAAATATTTAGAACTACTCAAACATAAATGAATATTACCCATACATATATTCCAAAGCCGTTTGACAATTCCCAGGCCATATAATACGCAAAATAACCCCTAAACCTATTTAAATCACATGCATGCCCGTACACATACACACAATAATAATAAAGTATGGGGCACGAGAATTTCACAACTATTCGAACTCATTTCAAACTCGACTATCAACTATCCAAAGCCATCCTATTGTATTTTTCTAAATATTTTATATTGTATGGCTTAAAATTGTGCAATAAATGTATGTTAATTGCTCAAATGGAACACACTAATAATTATATGGAACATTATGTTGTGCAATCGTGTGTACACGGTTCCAAATTCATAATTTCTATACTATGGCTCTGTTTGGCAGAGCTTATTTAGGAGCTTATAGCTTATTTTAAGCTCCTAATAAGCTATAAGCTCTGTTTGGTAATATTCCCAAAATAAGCTCGTAGCTTAAAATAAGAGCTTATTTTGGAACGCTACTTTAGGTAGCGTTTCAAAATAAGCTCCTAGCTTCCTAACTTTTTTTTCCATCTTTATCCTTATTATTTTAAAGAAATGACATAATTTACCCTTCCCAATTAAAACTTTTTTTCTCTTCTCCTTTATCCGCAACTTTCACCGCAATTATTATTATTATTATTATTATTATTATTATTATTATTATTATTATTATTATTATTATTATGAGATTTGCAACAATATTGCTACTTCATTATGAGATGCTAGATCATGATTATACTAATAGTTTTATTTCAAAATGTTAATTTTTTTTAAAAAACAAAATGTTAAATTTTAATATGTAAACAAACCCAATTTAAATTTTATGAAGATGTCATTTTTAGTCTTTTTATATTTATCAGCTTATCAAAAAGCTATTTTTACCAAACACTTTCAACCATAACAGCTAGCTTAACAGCTCTTCAGTTTTCAGCTCCGAGCTTATAGCTTTTTAGCTTTCAGCAGCTTATAGCTTTTCAGCTAGGTCTGCCAAACAGAGCCTATAGATTCATAATTTCTATATTATAGATTCATTTTTTTTAATGCATAATATATGTTCATAATTTCTATACTGTAGATTCATAAAATCTATATTGTAGATTCATAATTTCTAAACCGTAGATTCATAATTTAAATACAGTAGATTCATAATTTCTATACAGTAGATTCATAATTTCTATACTGCAGATTCATAATATTTGTACTATAGATTCATAATTTCTGTATTGTAGATTCATAATTTCTAAACTGTATAGTTATCAAATTATGAACTTATAGTTCTGTGATTTGTGAATACAGAGTTCAACAATTGGGAATATGAACATCGAAAATTATGAACATAAAGTTCTGTAATTGTGAATATATAGTTCAATAATTATGAATATAAAGTTCAAAAATTATGAATATATAGCTTTATAATTATGAATATATAGTTCAGTAATTATAAACATAGAACATTGTGCACCATGCATGGTGCACACGGTTGCACAACATAATTTGTCTAATTATATTATAACTTCACAGCTTGATATTAAAATTAAGTAAATGTGTATAGTCGAGAGATCAAATCAGGTATTAACTCTATTTAAATATAATGAATTTGTAGCAAATATTTTACACAAATGCGGTAGATAATCACTTCATTACATCTTAAGTTTAAGAACTTTTTAGTTGGTCCTAATCCACCTAAAAGAGGGTGGACCAGCAAGTACTCTAATAATTTACATTTATGGCTTATTGATTGTTAATTTTTATTTTTACGTAAAATAATATTACACAAATCCATATAACTCTATACGTATTCAATGACACAAGTAAATTACTAAAATTATGGTTACTCCACTATAATAATTTTACTACTTTAATCATTCACTTTCAATTTTAAACAATATTATATACTATTAAATGTATACTTATTTTAGTCCTTTAATTTGGATATACTATTTTGTTCAAAAAAAAAAAATTATTTTTACTTATTTGAGCATTTTAATCAGCTGGATGGTTAAAATAAGTAAATTTTCATAATTAAAGACATTATTACTGCATTACTGCATTATAGCGAACATAGAATGCCCATTTAAAAATTTAAAAATGAAAAGCTTATGAGGAAATTGGGATCAAATTAACATTACACAAAAAAGATTATAAGAACAAAAGAATGTCCAATAAACAAGAAAAAGTTAGTAAAATTAAATGATCAAAATAAATAAAGGAACACATAAATATTATAAATATTACAAAATGAAATTTTAATTTTTGATGATAAGAATTCAATATTGTTCAAAATTCCATACTATCGTATACAGAAAATTTTGTTAGGATTGAGAAACCAATGAATATCGCCATTAATCAAAATAGTTTGAATACAACAAAACAACAATAATGAATATTGCCAATTACGGTGTATTGTAAGTAAATTAACCAATAGTAGTAATTAGAATTATACATATATAATCTAAAATAATTAAATTTGTGCGGTAGATCATTACGTAAATTGTATATACAAATTAATTGAAGAATAACCAGCTTAAGAGAGGTCGGGAGTTTGAACTTCCTCTTGTATGAAAAAATCAATTTCGCTAGCACTTTACATTTTAATTGACGTCATTAAATTTTATGAGTTACAATAATGTATTTTATGTGTTTAAATAATGTACTTTATATGTTAGAATAATGTACATTATGGGTTACAATAATGAAACTTCTGCATAAGATAATGTAATTTATGAGTTAGAATAATGTACATTATGCTTTAGAATAATGTACATTATGAGTTATAAAAATGAATATTATTGTAGATGGTAGCGTGAAAAATAAAATTTCACAAAACAACGTCATTTTTGGACCGTGGTCCACAGAGCTGTGGTCTAACCAAAAATAATAATTGAATCAAAGTGGGCAGATTCCCTGTGTGCACCGACATTTGGCTCTATTTGCTGAACCATTGAATCGCCGTAATTTACATCTTTTCAAATGTTCTGTCGGGTCGGAATGTGGGGGTCATTGGGATTGGGGATTCAATTTGAGAGAAGAAAAAAAATAATTGAAGAATTTTTTTGACATTTGTCCTCTTACAAATACATGTATTTTTGAGAAATAATAAAAGCAGGCCAACGTTGTACTGCGGATTGATCTGCCCACCAAAAGGGCGTCGAATAAAAAGAGGAAATACACTGAAAAATATATTCTCACTTTTTTTTTTAATAAATTTAATTAGTTCAAAAGTCAACTCTTCTTTTTCTCTCTGTACTTGTCGTCATCTCCGTTCTTTCCCTCTACTTTTTCTTCTTTCTCCCCCACAATTTAAATTCAATCCTACGCTCTCTCAACTAATCTTCCAACTCTTTCTCTCTCATCTCTCTATCATATATATGCATGTTCAGTAGCTTCAATCTATCACTTTTTCATCTTCAATAAGTAATAAATTTCCAGAAATGGGCAACGGGGTCGGAAACTTGAAGCACTGTTTCGCCGGAGATGGCGGAGAGGTTTCCCGGCGACGCCATGAGATCGCTGTGTATATATCTGATCCTATGGATGAAGGTCTGGGCCATTCTTTCTGCTACGTAAGGCCCGACCCGTCGTCGAAAACTAACCCTTTCTCCTCCTCCGATGACTCCTGCTCTTCCACCACCAGTTCCTCCATTACGACGGCGTTTCTCACCATCTCCGGCGCCTCCATCTCCGCCAATACTTCCACCCCGCTCTCCACCGCCCTCGTCGACCTCGGCCCGTACATGGAAAAAGCCGCGGCTTTCGAGAGCTCCCCGTTCTTCTCCTCCATCCCTTTGCAGCCGATTCCCCGGAGTTCCATTTCCTCCGTCCGGTCCGGCCCGGTTCCGGGCATATCGGGGGTCATCTCCGGGCCGGTTGAGCGCGGGTTCTTGTCCGGCCCCATAGAGAGGAGTTTCACCTCCGGCCCTCTGGATAATCATGAACTCCATAGGTTCAAACCCAAATCCAAGAAATCAAAACTTGTTCGGAATTTCAAGAAACTTATGTCAAATAGCAATGGCGGAAATTGTTTGAGCAGTGAGGGTAGTTTCGGCAATGATGTTATTGATGAAGAAGATGAAGGCATTGAGTCGTTGATGGCTGAAAATGTGCAGTGGGCTCAGGGGAAAGCAGGAGAGGACAGGGTCCACGTGGTGATCTCCGAGGAACATGGGTTGATTTTTGTGGGGATTTATGATGGTTTCAACGGCCCAGATGCCACAGACTTTTTGCTACAAAACCTCTACACAAATGTGTTCAAGGAACTCAAGGGGGTGCTATGGAATGAAAGGCCAGAGACGAAAAACACTACTGTTCCATTGGTGATTAACCATTGTGATGTTCTGAAGGGTCTTTCGGAGGGATTGAGGAAAACTGAAATGAGCTATTTGGAGATATCTGATCTGATGTTGAAGGAGAATCCTGAGTTGGCTTTAATGGGGTCTTGTGTTCTTGTGATGCTGATGAAGGGTACAGATGTGTATTTGATGAATGTTGGAGATAGCAGGGCGGTTTTAGGGCAAAAGCAGGAATGTGATCACTCCATAGCCAAGGAGGAGGCACTGTACAAAGCCCTGTCTGACCGCAAACACAATCTGCATCCTCTGCAACTCACTCTTGATCACAGCACATCTGTTACAGAGGTAAGACCACTACCCGAGTCTGTGCAAAGGATAAATCCCGCCTTGGTTGTCCATAGTTGACCTGTTCGAGGGTGTGCATGCACGGGGTAAACTCAACTCAGTCATGGTTTCTATAGCTGATCAGCTCAAACCAAGGAGGATGAGATCCGAACTTGTGACCTTATAGTTACAAGTTTGTGCATGCGGGGGTGAACCCTGTCTTAATTGTCCATAGTTGATTAGCTCAAACCAAGAGGATTTAGATTTGAACTCCTAACCTTGTGGTTACCAGTTTAGTTGGAGTTATCCCAAGACCATCACACTTTTGTCATGTGTTAAATTCTGATAGTAAATGCTTCATCTCAACTAAAAAGTTAAGCTGACTGTTGAATTGCACATTTCTGTTTATATATTACTTTTGACCTTTAGCATGGGGTTACCTAATAGCATGTATTTCATCTCAACTAAAAAGTTAATTTGCAGGAAGTTGTGAGAATTAAGAAAGAACATCCGGATGATGCTTGTGCAATCAAGAATGATAGAGTGAAAGGTTCCTTAAAAGTGACCAGAGCTTTTGGGACAGGCTTTCTGAAAAATGTAAAGATCTTGAATTGTGAGCTAGCCATTATTATTTTACATATATATATGGTGATTATGTGTGATTTTACATACAGCCAAAATGGAATGATGCGATTCTGGAGGCGTTCCAGATCGAGTACGTTGGAACATCACCCTACATCAACTGCATACCTTCAGTGCAACACCACAGGCTAAGTCCAAGAGACAAACTGTTGATCTTGTCTTCAGATGGTCTTTTCCAGTACTTCACCAATGAAGAAGCTGTCTCCGAGGTTGAGACCTTCATGTCTATATTCCCTGATGGAGATCCCGCTCAGCACCTAATCGAACAAGTCATCTTCAAAGCTGCTAACAAAGCAGGTATATATATATGTAATTACCATGCTAGCTAGGTTCTATTTCATTCAAGAAATCGATAATATTCGTAAAATACAATCTGATTCTTGCTGGGCGGAGGCCAGTAAGGGCAAAGTCTAGCATCATTTGGCTAGAAGATTGTTAGGCAGAAGTTGCTAATAAAGGACCAGTCCAGCACATGTGATTAGGGGATTGTTGGGTAGAAGTTGTTAAAGGCCAAGTCCAGTGCCTGGCTCTCGAAAATTTGTGACAATATAAGAAAATAAAGTTGTGTCTAACAATTTTGGCACTACCCCTTTAATTTCTTCTAATGATGCAGGGATGAACTTCCATGAGTTGCTTGATATTCCACAAGGACAGCGGCGAATGTACCATGATGATGTCTGCATCATTGTCATCTCTTTCGATGGAAGGATTTGGCAGTCATCCATCTGAGAGATCCAAATTCTGGGACTGATAATTGCTTTTCTGCTTTAACTGTTCCATGACCCCCATTTTTGCACAGTTCACAAATAGGGTCTTAGTTCAGGTAGATGCTGAAGTTTCTTGATCTGAGGTCCCCTCAGAGATGATAGGAAAGATTGATTAATTCATTTGTTTCTTAGTTACTTCTAGTTTCAAACCAATTCATGGAATTTTGGAGGGAATCAGGAAGATTCCTAAATTAAACTAATCTCAAGTGCCAAGAAATTGTTACTGTAATTTGTTTGGTTCATAGTTTCAAACAACAAGTCAATTGTTGTGGCCAGGTTCTAGAGTTGACTACTAAATATGTTATATGTATTATATATAGGATCGGAGTAGGTTCAAATGGCCGGTCGCCTATCATGATTTATCAATGGTTGAGAATTGAACTTTATTTAGTAAAAAAAAATACAAGATTAATTTTATAATTATTATAAATTTTTGCGAACATTCAAATTTCAATATATACGATTTGGATCAAATAAGAACTTAAGCACAGGAAAGAACTAGGAATCAGCTAGAGCCATCTATATCTAGAAAGATCTAACGATTTTAAAGCAAAGAGAGGAAAAAATAAAAGCAATATCATTTTCGTAAATAACTTGAACTTTAAGTGCAAGTAACAACACTATGTAGTGCGCTTAGTAACACTATAGAGTGCATCCTGTAATACGTATAGGTGTAATGATATTGTCTACCTTTTACAATTAATGGTTTAATTTATTTTTTGTTTAGTTTATGGTTTAGCTTTTTAATTTGGTTTAGAAGTTTACTTTACAGTGTACCTAATTTAACAACAATATAAAATACACCCAACAATAAGATAAAGTGCACATAACATTATTATTAATTGCATTGAATGCAAAGGTTAATTACACTTATGGTTTACCTTTTAACAATATAAAATGCACATAACATTATCATTAGTTGCACCGAATGTGGAAGTTATTAATTGTTCTTATAGTTGATCATTTAAACTTTATAGTTTAGTTATTTTCTATTTGGTTTAGGGTGAGTCTCTTGTGAGATCGTCTCACGACTCCTTATCATTGAGACCGTTTCACGAGTCCTTCTCCGTGAGATAGGCCAGGTCAAGATAGAAATGTAATACTTATGCTGGAAAATAATGTAATACTAATCATAAATAAATTATTGGGAAAATTAAATTTTTTATCTCTAAGTTATAGGGTAATTATAGAATTCGTTCATATTCGTTAGTCGTGCTCACTTTTCGTCCATTTACTAACAAAATATTAAGGAAAAAAATTGCAACGTTAGTATAGCTTAGGGACGAAAAGTGAGCATGAAAATTAAAGTTAATAAAAAGATGAAAAATTCAACACCAATGATAGCTTATAGGCGAAAAGTGAACATGACCAACAATAGGATCGGGTTTTACAATTACTCTATAACTTAGGGAGGAAAAGTACAATTTTCTCTAAATTATTTGTTACTTATAAGGGAAAAAGTATTACTTTTGAAAAAAAAATGTAGTACTTTTAAATCAAAATGTAATATTTAGAGGTTGAACAGTTACTTATGAGAAAAAATGTAATATTAATCATGAATAAATTAATTGATTGTTACTTATGAGAGAAAGTGTAATACTTATGAGAAAAATGTAATACTTTTGATTAAAAATGTAATACTTTTAAATCAAAATTTAATGTTAGGAGTTGAAGGGTTACGTATAAGGAAAATTATACATAATACTTATGTGGAAAAGTGTAATATATATAAAAAAAACTTAACTCATCTCATAGATGAAGATTCATGAGACAGTCTCATAGGAGAATTTTCCTTTAATTTGGTTCACCTTTTAGTATTTAGGAGTTTAAATTTTATTGTTTAGATTTAGATTTAATTTTCTTCATTTAGCAACATACGCATTGTGTAGTTTACTTGCATGTCTATAATGTTGAAAGTTATATTAGAATATGGTAATTAGATAAATATGTAAACAATATTATTCTTAGAATATTGTAAATTTGTTGTATTATTCTCTGACTTATTTAGGCATATGATCATTACTTAAAGTTGTCAATAGTTATGTTGTGCAACCGAATGCACCATGCGCATGGTGCATACGATGCAAAACGACGTCGTTTTGACTAAAAACGCGCGTCCCATTTACAAAAAAAAAAAAAAAAAAAAAAATTAGGTTCGATTCTCGGCAATAGCATTATTGTGGATATATAGTTATGAATGTCTGGATATATAGTTATGAATTTCTGGATATATAGTTATAAATTTATGGATATTTAGTTCATTCATTATGGATATTTAGTTCATTCATTGTAGATATTTACTTCATTCATTCACTGTGGATATATAGTTATGAATTTATGGATATATAGTTATGAATTTCTGGATATATAGTTATAAATTTATAGATATTTAGTTCATTCATTGTGGATATTTAGTTCAATCATTGTGGATATTTAGTTCATTCATTGTGAATATTTAGTTCATCCATTGTGGATTTTTACTTCATTCATTCATTGTGGATATATAGTTATGAATTTGTGGATATATAGTTATGAATTTATGGATATATAAAAATGCTATTGCCGGGAATCGAACTTGATTTCTTCTTTGAGTGGGACGCACGTTTTTTTTAACCAAAACGACGTCGTTTTGCATCGAATGCACCATGCGCATGGTGCATTCGGTTGCACAGCATAATTTGCGCAAAGTTGTATATGAGCCGAAAAGCAAATTAATGAAAAACAGGGTAAATAATATTTCTTATATAGTACCAACGTTTTACTGATTATGTAGCTACATTGGGATTCGCTCACAGCATTTCAAATCACTCTTTATTCATACAACACCAACACACGGAACATATTGAAATTGATATACATTTTGTTCGTAAAAATGTCGTTCGAGGTCAAGTACGTGTCCTACACATACCTTCACGCTATGAATTGCCGATATTTTCACTAAAGGACTCCCACTACAACTCTTTGATGACTTTCAAGATAGTCTCAATGTGCATAAATCTCCTGTTTCGATTACGGGTTGTATTGAAATATGATAATTAAATAAATCTGTAAACAATATTATTCTTAGAATATTATAAATTTGTTGTATTATTCTCTGCCTTATTTAGGCATTAGGACCGTTACTCAAAGTTGTATATATGAGCGTGAAAACAAATCAATAAAGACAGGGAAAATAATATTTCTTACAAGTTACACTTTATAGTGCTATTAATTTCATTTTAAAATTGAAGTTATTTACAAAAATGTCAGCGCATTTTTCCGTAATTGCTTATGATCCATTAGCTCTTTCTAGATGGACAACTATAATTGGTTCATAGTTTTCTCTTATGCGCCAGTTCTCACAAGAGTGTGTTTGTGTGTGTGTTTGTGTATGTGTGTGTGTGTGTGTATATATATATATATATATATATATATATATATATATATATATATATATATATATATATATATATATATATATATATATAGTATATATATATATATATATATATAGTGAAAGGTTCCCGTGCGGATGAATGCTTCCCGTGCAGTTGTGCGGTTGATTAATGTGCGTGAGGTTTGTACTCAATGTGCGTGAGTGTTGTGCTTAATGTGTCTGAGATTTGTACTTAATGTGCGTGGGTGTGTAATGTTAATATACGTGAGTTTTGTACTTAAGGTGTGTGAGTCTTGTGCCTAAGGTGCTTGAGTTGTGTGCTTAATGTGCGTGAGTATGTTCTTCATCCACTGCTGTGAAAATTATGCACATCCATTGCTGCATTTTCTTCTTGTTTTTGTTTCGAAGTGGTGGAGGAATAGATTTTGTCTTGTTTTTCTTTGCATACTGGGGGGCCTTTTGAGTTTTCTTACCACCCTCCTCCCCAGTCTCCTTTGTTTCAGCCTCATTCACAATGTCTTTTATGCTCTCACAGATTGAAACATTTTCGCTCTCATTAGCAGCTTCGCTGCCACCACCCTTCTTTCTTTCCTTCATTCTCAATCTTTTCTCTCTCCCTCCTATACAGATAAAACATAAAATCAGAAAAGCCATATGTGCGTTTACATATATCCACCCATTCACACACAATCAGAAAAGCTTCACCCACCTTCTCTTTCTGTTCTGCTTCCTTCTCAGCTCGTAATTCTGAACTCAAGTCACGCACATTAAGCACAAGCTTCACGCATATTAAGCACAATACTCAGGCACATTAAGTGCAAAACTCACGCACATTAACATTACACACTCACGCACATTAAGTACAAATCTCAGGCACATTAAGCACAAGACTCACGCACATTAAGTATAAAACTCACCCACATTAATCAACCGCACAGAAAGCCACAAATGCACCTGATCCCTTCCCTATATATATATATATATATATATATATATATATATATATATATATATATATATATATATATATATATATATATATATGGAAGGGTTCAGGTGCGGGTATAGCTTCCCGTGCAGTTGTGCTGTTAAATCTGAGCAGTTGATCAAATTTAGATCAATGGCTCAAATCAATGAAAATTAAAAAATAAAAAATAAAAAAAAAAAAACGCGTGCCTGGAACAAAGAAGTATAAGCTAAGGTGCACCTTAAGTGTTAGATCTGAATCACAAACTCACGCACTTTAAGTACAAAACACACACACATTAAGCACAACCTCACGCACATTAAGCACAAAACCCACTCACTTTAAATATTAACTTACAGACTTCAAGTTTCAACAACTACTGACATTAAGTACAAGATCCACACACATTAAGCACAAAACTCACGCACTTTAAGTATTCACTCACAGACTTTAAGTTTTAACAACTATACACGTTAAGCACATCCCCATGCACATTAAGCACAAACCTCACGCACATTAAGCACAAAACACACGCACATTAAGCACAAAACACACGCACATTAAGCACAAATCCGCTCACCTTAATTTTGACCTAGATGCAAAAATTACAAAATTGCCACCGCATTTTTTTTTTTAAACTTTGATAATCCTGGACGTTGATTAAAGCGAGATGGATGGCTCAGATTAAACTGCACAACCGCACCTGAAGCCCTCACCCGTACGAGAACCTAAATATATATATATATATATATATATATATATATATATATATATATATATATATATATATATATAACTCTTACAAATAAACTCGATTCACAATACAAAATAAAATAATAGTTAGTCTAGTGTGTCCTACGTAAGATAATCTCATACAAGATTTATC